AAACACCCACACACATGACAATAGCAAAAATAATTTAAAAACTATTTCAAAATAAGTTGAAATGTTTTTAAATGTAGTTCACCTTCCCTCTATAATCAGCACAACTCCTATCTTTGTATCTGAAGCCACTGGTTATTGACAGAGCCCTTGATGTGACAGGTTGAAGTTGGGGAAAGGGACTAGGTTGGAATGGGTTCCAGATTTCAATGTTAAGACACCTGGTAAACTGGCTGTGGGGTGCATGCCTGTAATCCTAGGGCTGGCAAGATGGAGAGAGGAAGGCTAAAAGTTTGCCATCAGTCTGAGCTACACAGTTCAAGGTCAGCCCAGACAGCCCTTATGAGCCCAGCCTTTGCTTCAATAGATAAAACAGTTCAGTGTCTCAAGTATCTATACCAAACAATATTAGGAACTGAGTTCTGATCCACAATAATCACGTAAAAAGCTGGATGTAAACTGGGTAGTGGTGGTGCACACCTTTAGTCCCAGCACTTGGGAGGCAGAGACAGGTTCTATGTGAGTTCAAGGCCAGCCTGGTCTACAGCAAAAATTCCAGGGCAGGTTGCAAATTAAACAAATAAACAAAAAAGCTGGATGTAGCAGAACTTGTTTGTATTCCTAGTGCTCGGGGGAAAGGGAGAAGAGACAGGCAGCTCCTGGACTCAGACAGTAGTGTTGAAAAGTTAGACATCTGGATTACACTAATGTCAATTTTGTTTTTCATTTAAGCATAGCATAATTTTTGGAACTGAATGAAGGCTGTTGAAGAACTGGATTTTTATGGAGCTGGCTGTTCTTTAAGAGGTCTTGAGTTCAATTCCCAGCTCAGCAACCACAACCACAGGTGGCTCACGGTCACCTACAATGGACTCTGAGGGCCTCTTCTTTATGTCTGTATAAAGTCATACATGCAGATACTCATATGCCCCAAGGTGTGTGTGGTGTGTGTGTGTGTGTGTGTGTGTGTGTGTGTGTGTATTGGTGGATATATGCACGTAAGTATGGCTATTGGAAGAGGCCAGAAGAGGGTGTGAGTGCTCAGTATCTGGAGTTAAAGGTGGTTGTGAACCCTCTCCACTGAGTCCTGGGAACAGAACTCCAGACCTCTGGGAGCCATCCCTCAGGATCTCTCTATATAACTCAGGCTGGCCTCAAACCTTCAGTCCTGTGTTCTTCCTGATACTTTATTGGTAGGCACTCCACCTGGCTCTTAAAACAATTTTTAATCTTACCTATTTAGTAGTTATTTTGGGTACTAAAGATGGAACCTAAGGCCTTTTAAATGCTAAGATTACAAAACGTTGTAAATAATCACAACACCACCCACTGGGGATTCTAGTCCAATGCTTGATCATCAAGCACACACATATCCAGCTTTCTGCTGTTCGCTCATAAATATCAATAACTATCCAGGTAACCAGGACAACATTCCCCAACTCACTTAAGCCTTCACTTAAGCATTTCATAGTCTATTTTCCATATGAAGTAATAGTCTAAGGTCCCAGTTGAAAAGTTTCTACACCCCAATAAGCCTCTCTGCCGATGCAGGAATCCAAGCCCACATTTAATGGAGACAATGCTCCCGGATGGCCTTGAGGAGACAGGAATGGGAAACTGGAAAAGCCACAAGTCTGTTCTCTGGGGGACACTTTAAATACCCTGTGGGAGTTGTTTTGAGTATCTCTGAGGGAGGGGCCATCATTTGGCAGGCTTTCTGAGAGCATCAGCGTTTGGAGGGAGGTGGGGGAGGGGACTTGGGTAAAACCTCCACCATAACATCCCAGACTCTTTGGATGCCAGGGGCTGGGGCAAAGCTTCCACCATAAAACCAGTGATTAGGGGATGGACATTTGCTTCCACATTGTAGACATAGAACTAGCAGCAAGGATCCCAGCTGTTTTAGCCAGAGTTCTATTGCTGTGAAGAGATTCCATTACCACAGCAATTCTCTCTTTTGGTGGGGGAGGGGACTCAAGACAGGGTTTCTCTGTGGCTTTGGAGGCTGTCCTGGAACTCTCTCTGTAGACCAGGCTGGTCTCGAACTCACAGAGATCCACCTGCCTCTGTTTCCAGACTGCTGGGACTAAAGGTGTGCGCCAACACCTGGCTCCATAGCAACTCTTATAAAGGAAAACAACTGGGGGGCTGGTTTACAGTTCCATAGGTTTATTCCATTATTGTCATGGCAGGAAGCATGGCGGCATACAGGCAGACATGGTGCTGGAGAGGGAGTAGAGTCCTACATCTGGTTTCTCAGGCAACAGGAAGAGATAATGAGTCACTAAGCCTAGCACCAGCTTCTGAAACCTCAATGCCCACCCCCCAGTGACATAATTCCTCTAAACAGATCACACCTACTCCAACAAGGTCACACCTTCTAATAGAATTGGGCAGGGCCATGGTCTGAGTCTGTACAGGACAAGTTTCTTACTCCAACCTTTGAGAAGAGAAGCATCATGTCAGTCGGGGTGCACTGTGTAGTGCAGGTCTACTGAAGGAAGAAGGCACTCCAAGATGAAATCTTAAGGCAATAGCAGGAAGGTCCAGCCTCTTCTGATGGACTGAACCCTGAACAGCTGTATAAGGATGTATTTATTGAAAGTTACACAAAGTATTTCCTCATACAAAGGTCCCTAATCTAATTTACATGTCTTACTAAAGGAAAGTATCACATGCCTCCAGGACTAATTCTTTATTTGGTATCGCCTGTAATACATAATGATACAAGAGCCTCAGGTGTGCCTGAGGTGTCCTGTGACCAAAGTCATCAGATGGCTGTAATGACCCTTCAGCAAAACAATCACTGTTTCCACAAGGATTCTTCAAGGTCAAAGTACTTCTATAAAACAAAACAAAAACAAAAAACCCACCCGCACTACACAGTGCACCCCAACAATGGCAAATAGTAACATGGACCTTAAAAAAAATTTATTAGCCTGGTGTTGATGGCTCAGCCTTTAGTCCCAGCACTGGGGAGGCAGAGGCAGGTGGGTCTCTGTGAGTTTGAGACCAGCTTGGTCTACAAGAGCTAGTTCCAGGACAACCTCCAAAGCCACAAGAGAAACCCTGCCTCGAAAAAAACAAAAAAATAAATAAATAACAAATAAAAATTAATAATTTATTGCAGCAAGTTGGTGGCACACGCCTTTAATCCCAGCACTCGGCAGGCAGAGGCAGGCTGATTGCTGTGAGTTCGAGGCCAGCCTGGTCTCCAGAGCGAATGCCAGGATAGGCTCCAAAGCTAAATAGAGAAACCCTGTCTCGAAAAACCAAATAAATAATAATAATAATATAATAATAAGAAGAAGAATTTATTTAACTTTATTTTATGTGCATTGGTGTGGGGGTGTCAAATCCTCTGGAACTGGAATTATAGTTGTGAGCTGCCATGTAGGTGCTGGGAATGAACCCAGGTCCTCTGGAAAAGCAGCCAGTGCTCTTAACTGCTGAGCCATCTCTCCACCCCAGATAACATGGGTGATGAAGTGTTCTAATGTCTTTTCAACTCCCCAGACACCCACCCCAAAAAGTGTAGAGAATGTGAGAGAATTCACGAGGGTCGGGTTTAACACACAGCATCTTCAAATGGTGGCAATGAAGAGCTAAAGACACACTGGGGAAGGAGACGGCTGAGCCTTGAGATGCAAGTTATTATCCCAGCCACTCTTGAGTGAGGCTAGAGGATTGCCAGTTCAAAGCCCACAGAATGAGTTCAAAATCAGCCTAGGAAACTTAGCAAGATTTCGTCTCAACACAAAACAAAACAAACAAAAAGAAAGGACTGGAAAAATAGCTCAATGGTAGGGCTCTTCTCTAGTCAGAGGTGGACACTGAATGTCCTCTATTACTCTCCACATTATTTGGAGACAGTTTCTCTCACTGAACTGGAGCCCACAGACTCAGCTACACTGGCTGGCCAGCAAGTCAAGGGATCCTCCTATCTCTCTCTTCCCAGCGCTGCCATGACCAGTTTTTTTAATACACGGTCTCACTGTGGAACTTGATGAGTAGATCCGGCTGGCCACAAACCCAGAGGTCTGCTTGTCTCTGCCTCATGAGTGCTAGTATTAAAAGCGTGTGACAGCACACATAGTCTCATAACTGACTTTTTGGGAGGTGGGGGGCAGAGGCAGGAGGATCTCTGTGAGTCCCAGAAAGACAGACATAAATAAAGCTGGGTTTAGTTAGGAATTGCATCTTTTGGTGCATGTCTCCGTCCCGCCAGCAGAGGGCGTGCAGGATACCTTTCCCTGATAGTTGACTAGGTATCAAAGCCTTTTACCTCCCTACCCCATCAGACGAGACTATTTTTTACCCTGTGTCATTAGACACCGGTGGCTGGAAGCCCATCCTCTGTCTGCCCTTCGGCTCCTGACAGTGACCCTGCCCATCTCCCCGCCGACTCCAGACCCTTCCCTGCAAGCCAGGCCTCCTCTGTCGCCATTCTTAGCTTCAGCCTAGGCGTTCCTTATTAATCTCAAAACGCAGAAATTCTAAGTTCAAACTCTGGTGCTCTGAGCGTCTAGGGAGCCATCCGGAGCACAGACGCAACTGTGAACAGTTGCAGAAGAGGCCATGAGAATTCGGCAAGCACCCGGGTTGCTGCCCCAGAGCTCCTTGGGAGTGATGGTTAGAGATGCAAAGGAAATAAACACACATGACTCCAGACACACAGATATTCTTTGAGAAATACTAGGCAAAAAAAGAAAGGCAGCAACGAATCCAGGCGTGGTGGTACACATCTGTCATTCCAGCTGTTGGGAGGCAGAGGCAAGAGTATTGCAAGACTGAGACCAGCCTGACTCGGTGTCAATAAAAAGTAGAATAATAAAAGGCAGAGAGATACAGAGCTCCTAGCCAGAGGGATAGATATGAGCGGCGACTGGTAAAGCGGATACAACCCCCCAACGCAATAGCCGAGGAGGACAGACTAGAGATGGAGAGATGGAAACTGCAGATAGACGCCATGACTCGTGACTGTCACCCCAGCAATCCGAAGGATGAGGCAGGAGGATGGCCACGAGTTCGCGGTCAGCTTAAGTTACAAACTGAGAAGACTGTCTAAACAACAAATAAATAGCCGTGATGGCATACACCTATAATCCCAGCATTTGGGAGGTGGAGGCGGGGGGGGGGGGGCCAGAAAT